CTCTCTCTCTCAAATAAATAAATATTTTTTCAAGAAATGAGGGGTGCCTGGGTGGCTCAGTTGGTTGAGCATCTGCTTTCGGCTCAGGTCATGACCACAGGTTCCTGGATTGGGCCCCACGTTGGACTCGCTGCTCATTGGTGAGTCTGCTTCTCCCCCTGCCTTGCCCCCTGGCTCATGCTCTCCCCCAGACCCCCGTGTCATATAATTAAATAAAATCTTTTTAAAAATTAAAAAACGAAAGGGAGATGAGGGATAGAAAACTGTTCAAGAGGTATGAGCAAGGTGCACCTGGGTGGCTCAGTCAGTAAAGCGTCTGCCTTTGGCTCAGGTTATGGTCCCGGGGTCCTGGGATTGAGCCCCACATCGGGCTCCCTGCTCAGTGGGAAGCCTGCTTCTCCCTCTCCACTCCCCCTGCTTGTGTTCCCTCTCTCGCTGTGTCTCTCTGTGTCATATAAATAAATAAAATCTTTAAAAAAAAGGTATGGGCAAGAAAGAGTAAGTCTCTCTCCTTGATAGATAATAAAATACTTCAGAAATGGGACAAGGGTACAACTTTCTCAGCATGTGGTTCAGTGCTATTTAATGCACTGCCTAAAATTGCCACTCATATCATGTGGTCTGGAATAATATAATGCCTTGTCTCCAGGACACATGTTTGGGAAAAACAACATCTGCCTGTGCCCTGGGTCCCAGCTGCTGTTTTAATAGGAAAACCTATCTTTCCAATATGCTTTTTAAGTGTTCTTAGGGAAGTGGTGGGGGCTTCCTTTGCTAGAGGAAAAGTCTGTGCTTTTCTAGTCCTGTGACTCTTCCTGGTTGGTGCTGCGGACACAGTAGCTTCGCAGGGGCCCTGGCTGAGTATGGGTGATGAACTCCTCAGCCGGAGGCCAGACCCTCTCCAGGATCCTTGTTTGGGGGTGTTCTGTCCCAGGCAGGCTTGCAGAGTCTCCCTTGAGCCCACTGTGGCTGGAACTGGTGGGAAGTGCTGCCTATGGAGATTGGGGCGGTAGGGGGTTCCCTCGCCTCTGCCCTCTTAATCCTCAAGCTCTGCCAAGAGAGCTTATCTCCCCAACCCTGTCGCATCTCCCGTCATCACGGCCTCTCCCATCCTGGGGAACAACACAAAGAATAACCACTAGGATTGGGAACCAAACAAGAGCCAGGATGTGAATCCAGACCCGTCCAACTCTGGAGTTGGAGTCTTCAACCACATCATTCTCCTGGTTGACTAGAGATAGTCTGTTAAAGCTCTGTGGCTTCAGTTCCCGCATCTGCAAAATGGGGGGCGGGGAGCCTCTGGTACCCCCACCCTCCCATCCCTCCCCCTTTCTGTTCTCCTGGTGCTGTGAGGAGTTCATGTGGCAGTAAATGAAAAGCACTCCAAACAGGGTCTGGCTCATAGCACACAATAAAAACATTAGTCAACATTGCTAATATTACTATGAGCTATCCTGGAGAAAAGGCTTCAGGGTGGAGGTGGCTTTTGAGCCAGTTTCCAAAGAAGGCCGGGAGTGGGGGTAGCATTCCAGGAAGAGGGCACAGTGAGAGCAAAAGTTTAGTGACCTTGGCAGGAAGTAAAGCTCACTGAGGAACCATTTAATAGCCTCACCTGGCTGCAGCATTTGGGCAGGAAGCTAGGATGGTGAACTGGGAGTGGGGGGAGAGGGCATTGGTAAGGGAATGCTTCAAGGCAAGGCTTCAAGCCAACTACCTGGGAGTGTGCTGACAAGGCCCGGGAGGGTCCACTCTGGTCTGGCTTCCAGTCTTGCTTTTTCAACTTGTCCAATCTCTTGGCTCCTGGACCCCACTCTCCAGCCACCATGGCCACCTGGCTGTTCAGATCCATCAGACTCTCTCTCACTTGCTGTTGTGTCCCCCTGAAATGCTGTTCCCACCGCCTCCTCCCTTCCCCCAAACAGTGCAAATGCCACCTCCCCCAGGATGCCTTCCCTGGGTCCCTAGCTAAGGAGCGCCACCGTCATCACATAATCCAAGTTATTCCCCTCACTGCTTGCTTCCCATTCTGAAATTATCTTGTGCAGGTTGTTTACTGGCTTCTGGTGTGCCTGACCCCATTAGACTGCCAGCTGTGAGGACTGGGACTTTGTCTTATTCAGTGCTGCACCCCCAGCACCTAGAGCACTGCCTGGCACTTAGTAGGTGCTCAGTCAATATTTACTAAAGGAAGAACTGAAAGATTTTTGAACAGGTGAGTGGGACAATCTGACTTATGTTTTAAAAGACTCCTCTGGGGCCCCTGGCTGGCTCAGTCGGTGGAGCGTGTGACTCTTGATCTCGGGGTGGTGAGTTTGAGTCTCATGTTGGGCATAGAGGTTACCTTAAAAAAAAAAAAAAGACTCCTCTGAGTGCAGACTGGGTGGGGTGAGGGCAGAGCAGGGAGATCTGGGGATAGACAACAGCTCAGGTCCAGGGAGTGATGATGGGGCCAGGACTGAGATGGTGGCAGTGGCAGAGGTGAGAAGTGGTCAGAAATTGAGAAGGGAGGAGGAAAACAGTATGACAACTGACGGAAAGGAGGCAGGAAGAAGCAGGGGACTAAAGCATAAGGAGAGAGGAATCCATGACCTTTGGCTGTGAGATGGACGGGGGGGGGGGGTTGGGGGGGGGGGGGGCGTGGGGGACACGGAGTCACAGGAGGAGTGGATACGGGAAAAGAGGCCAAATTAGTGTCTGGGATGCCTGTTGGACAATGCAGGGATGAGGTCCACGAGGCAATGATAATAATTATAATTATAGTAAAATAACTACCACAGAGCTCTCTGGTTACAGTAACTGTCACTGATCAAATATTTACTGAACACTGGGGACACAGCACCAGCAGAGACAGACAAGAATCCTTGCCTTCATGGGGCTGATGTTCTGTTGGCAGGGGACTAGAGAGATTAATGGGTCAAGAAATATATATATATATTTCAAATTAGCTCTATGCCCAAATGGGGCCCGAACCCCCGAGATAAGGGTCGCATGCTCCACCGACTGAGCCAGGCAGGCGCCCCCAGAAATTCATAGTCTAATATCAGGTAGTGGTAAATCCTCCGGGGGAAGAAGGTGGAATATAACAGGGCAAGGGGATAGAGAAGGGGAGATCATGTTGGAGAGAGTCTGACGTCCAGGAAGGATTTTATAAATATCTGTTAAAGACTCAATGACAGAAAGTGGATGGTTGATTTAGTATGTCTTCAGGTCTCGAGATGATCTAGTTATCTTCCACAGATTCCACGAAGTGAGTTTCTCCCGTCATGTGGCGGAGGAAATGAGGTAGTGGGGTACCTTAATGACTCACAAATACAGCGATGGAAACCCAACCAAGAACCGAGAGGGAACCCCTAGGTGGGAAAAAAAAAAAAAACACAACAACAACAAAATCCCGCTCAGAGGCCCGGAAACGGTCTTTTACTGGGGAGGGCAGAGGGAGGCGGGGTTGGGGGAAGCAGTGCCGCGCGCATTGATCTATGACGTCATCGGGACGTTAACTAGCGTAACTTCACCTGGACGTAGCCCCATTTCCCTTCCCGGACAGGTCCTCCGGTACTTCCGGACCGTCTGAATCAAGCCTCTCATTGGTTACTCGTTCCATCAATCTGTTTCATTCTTACAGTCTTCCGTCCCGCCTTCGAGGGCCCACCTCTGATAGGCTGATGCGGCCGTCACTTCAGAAAGGTCCGCATTCCTTCCGCCTTTCTCCAGGAGACCGAAGGCGAGGAGGGTGGATCCCAGGCGGCACCCACCCTTGAGCCTCTGCTTCCGCCTGTGATTGGCTGCCCTGGGTGCCGGTCGCTACGCCACCCGCCTCTGATTGGTCATCCAGCCGCCGCTCTGCGCGGCGCCGGCTCCGCCCCCGTCGGGTGTTTGTGGTGGGGCTGCGGAGTCGCCGATCCCGCCGGAAGCGCCAGGACAATGGGGACCAGGGACGACGAGTACGACTACCTATTCAAAGGTGCGGTCTGTGGGACAGAGACGGGCGAGGGAACGGCGGCAAGGCGGCGGGCAGGCGGGTTGAGGCTGCGCTCCAGGCCGCTAGGCCCAGGCCGGAGCCCGGGACTTGGGGCCCGGCGGTTTAGGCAGCGGGGAAAGCCGGGGCAGTTTGGGCTCGGTCAGCTTTGGGCTGGAGTGCGCGGCCGTGCGGAGCGGCCGTCCCAGAGAGGCCTGGGGGCCCTGGATGCGCCGAGGCGGGGCCGGGGCCCGGAGGGGGTGGGGCCCCAAGCGGTGGGAGAGGCCGTTAGGGGCGGGGCCTCTGGGGGCGGGGCCTTCCCAGCGTTTGGCGGGCCGGGCTGGGTGGAAACCTCCATTCGTGGTGGGGGCGGGGCCGTCGGAGGCGGGGCTAGGGCGTAGTGGGCGTGTCCAAGAAATGGGCTGGCTCTGGGCAGGTGGGGGTGGTGTTCTCACGGAGTGGGAGGAGCCGGTCCTGATTGGCGGCGGCATGTCTGGGGGGCGGTGCCCGGGAAGGGAGAGGACGCGAGGGGATGAGGCGTGTGGTGGGGGGACCCTGGATTTGGGACCCTGGATTGGGGTGCTGACCCAGAATTGCGTGGAAGGGGCGCCTGGCCGGGGGACTGTGTGTGCTGGACCCAGGCTTGGTGGTTAACAGTAACCACCAGTTATCATCTTTGAACTCTTAGAACTCAATAGAACCACCAAAGTACCTGCCCTTCACTAAGCACTTCACGAATTCATTGCAATGCTCACCCCAACCCTGTGAGGTCGTCGATAGTATCCGCCCTCTCTCTGTGGACCTGGAAACTGAGACCCAGAGAGACAGGGCACATTTGAAAAGTGTTGGAGCAGGATTTGAACCCAGGTCAGCTTTGGGCTTTACCACCTAAGGAGTCTATGTGGGACTGAGCCTGTCAGACCACCTCCCCCAACACATGGGCACTGATGGGCTGGCCTTCGGCCAGCCTGCTAAAGGATCATTCCTGCCCAAGGGACAGAGGGTTCTAGGAGCCTCAGGTGCGGCCTTGGCAGGTCAGACGGCCACTGCTAGCCTAGCTCCCTCGCCCTGCCGCTCAAGCTGGGGAGACTCCCTCCATATCGCTGGGGTTGTGGACTGACAAGTCACTGGCTTTAGGGGTGCCTGGCTGACTCAGTCTAGCATGCAACTCTTGATCACTGGGTTGTAAGTTCGAGCCCCACTTTGGGTGTAGAGATTACTTAAACACAAAATCTTAAAAAAAAAAAAAAAAGGCACTGGCTTCACAGTGCCTTCTGTGCCAACCTGGGCTTTGGCCAGGCCCGGGGCTGTTTTGAGCTCCCTGGCTGACAGTGGTTGCCCTTGATAGCTAACCCTGGGCCCGCATGAGGCACCTTTGTCCTGCTGCCTGCAGTGTGAGGGTCTGCCTCCCACACCAGCAGTTGACGTCGTCCCCTCGTTGGGGAAGCCTGGCTGTCTCCGGGAGTGCAGTCCGTGTCCATCACTGGCCATTGTGTCTTTGTTATCATCCCACACGTTGGGGCCGGAAGCCTGGGGACCTTGGGGATGTGGAGAGCGGGGTGGAGCACTCCCTACCTGGGATATCCATGTGGTGAAAGGCTTCTGGGCTGGGGGAGTGCCCACACAGAGGCCCAGAGTTGTCATATGGCACCGTGGGCCCCGGGGAGCTGTGTGCAGGCTCATAAGTCACTGGCAGGTGAGGCTGTGTGGTCGGCAGGTATCAGGCCAAGGTCCTGGTGCCGACTGTGCCCTGGGGTTTCACGTTAGAGGCGGGGGAAGGTCTTCTGTCAGTACCCCAAAAGGACTGGCCACAGGTGGACGGGACTCCATCCTGCTGTGGCTGGGGCCCTGAGGCCTCTGCTCCCCAGGTCCTGGTTGCAGGGCAGCGGGCCTTAACCCCAGTCGTCAACCTCCAGGCTTCTGGGGCCATTGCCTACTTGTTATTTTCAGCTGCTTGCTGTTATAAATAACCCAGCTCGAGTGTTTGCACTAGTCATCTTTTGCCCTTTGGGTTATTTCCTTGAAGTATGTTCCCAGAAGTCCAGTTACTGGGTAAGGGGCAATGGAGCGGCTGTGTGCTTCCCGGGACTCATCTCCAGAGTCCTCTTCCTGGAAGCCCAGATCTGGCTTCCGTGGCAACTGGCACAGGGCAGGGGTATGGGTGGGGGCTGCCTGCCCCGCTGCCCTCCCGCACCAGCCTACTTTTCTGAGTCGTTCAGGGTTAGAAGTGAAAGTTGAACCCACAAGGTCAGTATTTCCCAAACTGCGGGCCTCTGAGACCTCACGTTCACACGTGTGTCTTGTTGGAGGTCTCCCTATTATCTCTGCATATTTCTCTTAAAATCCACTCAGTTTTTCACTCCCAACGGTAGAAGGAAACGGTGGGTCTGGCACATAAAGAAGGAAGGAAAGAAGCCAGCAGGCAGGCAAGACACCACTGTGACACCTCTTGCCATGGGTAGATAGCGTTAGACAGAAGCATGAATATACTATGCCCTGGACCCTCCTGAGACCCCGTGTCCTGCAGAGGGTCACATCTGGTCATTGGAGAGATGTCCCAAGATGCGACTGCACCAGAAGGGTTGACGGGGGCCAACTTCCTTACCTCGAGGCTCCCCAGCCCCGTCGCCTGGTCCGAGGGGCCCTTCAGGAGGGGAGGGGCAGTGATAGTCCTGCCCCCAACCCTGTGCTCAGCCTCCCCCAGGCTTTAGTCACCTTCTGGCCCTTCCCTTGGCACGGAGGCGCCACACTTCTCACTTGGGACACTTACTGCCCCCTGCTTAGCCTTCCTGCCACCGCCTTGGTTGGTTTCGCTGCCACATCACACAGTGGCTCCCCTGACCTCCCAAGACCAAGACGAGCAGATCTCCCTGGGTGTTTTCCCCATGTGCTGTTTATTTTCCTCACTGCGCTTTCCCCTTTCCCCTAGGAGTAAGGTTGTTTATTTGCACCTAATTATAGATCCTCGTGTTCAGCCTGCTAACGTTTTATCCTGACAGCTATGGGCCATTTTCCCAACCTGCATATTCAGCCCCTGGGGGCAGCCCTGACCTCTCTTGGCTTGGACCAGGCTGCAGGATCCACAGTGGGAGCAGCTATGTCCCCAAGGGCCACCAAGGACTTCCTGGAGCCCCCCCCGGCCACTCACCTGGCCTCTGAGGATGTGGGTTGAAGTGGGAAGCTGCTGTGGTAGCCCAGGACCTTGTCCCCTGGGCTTTGTCCACCCCTGTGCCATCCATGAGTCCTTTTGGGAAAGGGGGCGAGGAGAGAGTAGCAGCCAGTGCCCAGGGAACAGGCCAGCCCCATGCTCACCCTCCTCTGCTGAGTGCTCCTGAGGCAGCCTCCTTGCTCTCCAGCCTGGGCAGGGCCCCCACCAGACCCCCTGGTAAGGACCTGAGCACGCCATCTTCCCCCATTGGCCCATGGTGGCCTTGTCTGTGCCCTGGCTTTGGGCCCCGATCTGTCCTCCGCTCTGATTCTCCGGCATATAACTGTGGCAGGATTGCCCTCAAGTGCTAGTCTCTGGGGCCTGGGATGGTCAGGGCTGGCTTCCTGGGGTGGGGGAAGCAGGGGCCTGCTCTGCCTGGAGTAGGGGAGCCAGCCCCCACCCCCAAACGGCCATAGTCTACCTGAGTGTCAGCGTGCAGGCTCCAGGGCTGCCACACTGTCATGGGGCAGATCGGAGGACCCAGGGCTTCAAGAGGTGCCAGCTCTTTGTTTTTGCCAACTGGGCTTGCCTGCTCTGCCAGCCAAGTGGCATGTCTGGGGGGGCCGTTTCCCAGCCAGTGATGCCACCGACTTCTGTGGAAATTCTAGGGGCTGTGTCCTCAAGGGCCCTTTATTTCCCCAAGACAACAGATCACTTGTGCCTTGGACAATGCTGTTCTCATTCCTAGCCCGCACATGGGGCCAGCCTGGCCACTGCCCCACTGGCCACCTTCCTGCATCAGGCACCGTGGGCCAGCGGTGGGCCCGCTGTTCATCTGCACAGTGGCCGGGGGCACTCGTCTTGCTCGGGCCTCCGCTTTCTCACTGGGTGACCCTGGGCCAGGAACTTGGTCACTCTGGGCCGAGTGGCCACCAGCTGTACAAGGCGAGGGATAATATGAACATTTGCTCCTGGGATGGTCCTGAGAACGCAGTCACAAAGCTTTCAGGGCTGGGCCTGGCCCGAGGTGCTGAGGAGATTGTTGGCTAGGCCAGGGCAGAGTTGATGGGACCAAGGCTGGCAAGGGAGGGAGGGGATGGGGGTGGCCATACAGGGCAGAGCCCAGAAGGGACCCTCCTGCTCGTTTCCTGTTCCATTCCCAAGGGCATACGCATCATGAGCCAGCCTCTCCAGCCTTGGCCAGGTCCCCATGGCCATGTGGGAAGGAGGTGAGGGGTTGGGGGTGTGGGTGGTGGGCTCCACAGCGTGGGTGAGAGCCACAGGCCCTTGTCCATCTCCACCTCTTTCCACCTTCTCCGAAGTCGGCTCGCAGTCTTCTGTTGGGCACCTACGTTGTCAAGAGAACACCTGCCTTGTTATCCCAGGTCCTGGAGGCCAGGTCACATGGTGGTTTGAGGGGAGAGGAGAGGCCTGACTTGAGGGGTTTTGAAGGATGAGCAGGAGTTTACCTACTACTCCGAGGGTCAGGATGCCCCAAATGGTGGGAGAGGAGGAGGCTGGACCCAGATCCCTGAGCTTAGCTCCGGAGGCAGGAGACATGGGTTCAAATCCTGACGAACGACTTTCCAGCCAGGTGGCCCTGGGCAAGTCACAGTCTGGTGAGCAAGGTTGGGAGGTAGGAGCAGGCCTGCAAACAGGCACATGCTCACAGTGCCTTGGGCTTGGCATTCTTCTGCTTCCTCTTGTAAAGGTTACATGAGACTTGTGTGAGGTGGTGCACATCGAGGGCTTTCTTAGGACAGACTCATTAAACATTCTTCTTATTCTTAGTCTTCTGGGGGCTGCCTTACCTGCCCCTTCCTCCTCTGGCCTGAGGATGGTAACCTGGGTGGGGGGAGCTGTGGAGGAAAGGCAGGCAGGGAGGGGAGTGGGCTTTTAAGAGGATGGCAGCGAGGGCCAGCCTCCTCAATCAAGTGTCATCTGAGGGACCACACCAAGGAGGGGAGGGCAGACACCAGGCAGGTACTTGGGCAAGAATGTCCAGGCAGCATGTCCCTGTTTAGCTCTGAGTTCCAGCGAGGAGGCCCCTGTGGCTGGAGCAGAGTGGGTGAGGGGGAGAGAGGGAGGGCAGGGAGGGCATGGGGCAGGTAGTGCAAGGCTCTGTGGGCCTCTGGGAGGATTTGGACTTTTGCCTCTGGGAGGTGGGAGCCCTGGAGGGCTGTGGGCAGAGCAGTGGTGGGAGCCATTCAGGTGCTCACGGGCGCCCTCTGGTGGCCTCCAGGAGAACAGCCTGGTGGTTGGCTATGAGAGTAACCACAAAGGACCCCAGGAGAGGTGCCAGTGTTGTGGCCCCGTGTGGGGGGCAGTGAAGGTGGTCAGAAGCCGTGGGAGTTTGGCCATGCACATATACAACTTTCCATCAAGGAAAAACTTAACTAGGGCTGTGGGTGAGCAAACCTACAGCCCCTGTGGCTTTCCACTGGACAGACCCACCTTTGGGTGCCAGAGCCCGAGGTCCACACGTGGGGGTCCATGTGGCTTCTGCCTGGGGTGTCTGGTCAGATAGCCATGTGTTGTTTCTTCTCTGCTGCACATATACCCACGCGTACGTGGGCAGCTCACACACTGTGCAGACACAGACGTGAGACTCCAGTGTGCCCTGGGTCTAAGGACAGCATCTTGGGCTCACACTCCTCCTGGACCAGCTCCCGTGGCCCTGCCACAGAGCCTGGGGCACCTTGGCCCCTAGAGGCAGTGCTTCTCTGGCTGGGGCAGAGGAATACAGGGAGAGACTGGAGGGGCCTGTCCTGCCCTGCTCAGGAGGACTCTGTGCTCTGGATGTCTCTGCAGGAAGGGCTGACTCTGGGGGCGTTGGGGTGGCAGGCTCTGTGCCTTTGCAGATGCATCTAGAGGGCACATTCCTGTTCCGCATGAGCCAGCTCTGACGATGGATGCCGGGGCTGAATGTGGGTTTGCTTGCGGCAACCCTCCATGAGGAAGCAGCGGGTGGGCGTGGGGGGGAGGCTTCTCATTTCCTGACTTAGAGCTCCAGAGACAGACCCTTGTAGGTAGGAACCTAGCAATAACTGTTCCCTGCCTGCCTTTGCATGCTAGATGCTAGTGGAGTTCTGATCCTGCCTTTTCTCCTCGAGTCCCCCTTCTGCAGAAAAGGCAGCCCGGAGAGGTTAAATGACTCGCCCAAGGTGGCCCAGCCCTGAAGCTTTTTTGGCGTCCAGGCTGCAGGGGAGGTTCAGGGGTTGATAGATCCCCACTCTGCCTACCCGCCGGGATGTCTGGGTGCATACATCGGCACTAGGGCAGCCCTGCTCTGAAGGACCGGAGACAGCGGGGTGTTGCGCTGTCCACAGCGGCTGGATTTCCCGAAGCCCTGAGCCTGTGCTTGCTCTGCACCGGCAGATGTGGAGCCTCGGGCTCCAGGACAGCCCCACTGCTCTGAGGGTGGCTTTCAAGTTTGTGCAGCCCCCAGGGTGCCGCTGGCGGTCCTGCAGGTGGGGCGTGGGTGGTATATGGGCCTTGGCTCGGGGAGGCCAGCCTGCAGAGTCTCACCTGTCTCCCTCCTGCCCCCAAAGTGGTGCTTATTGGGGACTCGGGTGTGGGGAAGAGCAACCTGCTATCACGCTTCACCCGCAACGAGTTCAACCTGGAGAGCAAGAGCACCATCGGCGTGGAGTTTGCCACCCGCAGCATCCAGGTGGACGGCAAGACCATCAAGGCGCAGATCTGGGACACCGCCGGCCAGGAGCGCTACCGTGCCATCACCTCCGCGTGAGTGACGGGGCTGGGGCGATGCAGGAAGCCATGGGTGTGGGGCCGGTGGGCCCAGAAGGATGGGCAGGAGGTGGGCAGGAGAAGAGGGGCAGCAGCTCCTTGGCCCAGGATGGAGGAACAGGACCTCCAGGAGCTATGGGACCGTTGGGAAGACCAGTGCCCAGTCCTGGCCATGCTGTGACCTTAGGGTAGACATGTCCTACGGTTCCTCTGAGCCCCTGAGTCCCTGTCCCTTGAGGCACTGTGGTTTCACCGAAGCTGGCTGCACCGTGAAGGTTGTTACCCCGGACTGGCTTCGGCCCCTCTGCCCGCTCCCCAGCCCTGCCTCCTCGCCTGCCCTGCCTGTCTTCCCTCAGCTTCCCTCTGCGCTTCAGCTCAGACCCCGTCCCACCCTCGCCCTGTCCTCCCACATAGGCCTGGCATCCCTCGCCTCCCTGTGGTCCCCCGCTACCAGGACCCACTGGGGCTGCCTCTCCCTAGACCCTCCCAGCGTCCCGCCACTTTCAGTCAGTCACTTGCGCCCTCGGGACTCCCTCCACTGATGCCTGGCCACCTTCTCATGTCCCTAATCCCTCGGGGTGGATGGGTGTCTGTCAGTCGCCTTGGTGGTCAGACTGGCCAAGCCATGGTGGGCATCAGGGCTTTTGCCCGGCAGCGGCCCTTTCCTTCCCTTTTGTGACTGACCCCGTGAGGGTCTGCTGACCCCAGGTCCCAAACTCCTTACTCTGGCCCCATAGTCCGGAGATGAACCTGGGGAGCAGAGCCAGAACTTGGGGGACACACACCCCACCCTCGAGGCCCCAGTGGCCACCCCTCGGGCAGGCTCTGTGCCTCCTGCCCCATGTGTGGGGGCCAAGGAGCTGCTGCCCACCGAGCCTGGGAGGCCCCTGTGGGTAGCTCACGCACTGCCCCCATAGGTACTACCGTGGCGCAGTGGGCGCGCTGCTCGTGTATGACATCGCCAAGCACCTGACCTACGAGAACGTGGAGCGCTGGCTGAAGGAACTGCGGGACCACGCCGACAGCAACATCGTCATCATGCTGGTGGGCAACAAGAGTGACCTGCGCCACCTGCGGGCCGTGCCCACTGATGAGGCTCGTGCCTTTGCAGGTGAGTCGTGCCGGGCCGGAGCAGGTGTGGCTGGGTGGGGGGAGGGGTGGTGTGGGGTGTCACACGGGGCCGCATGCCCGGGCGGCCCCCGGGGGCCACATTCCTGAAAGTGGGACTGTGACTGAGGCATCAGAGAACCATCTGGAAGGCAGACCCCTGCCAGCTTCCCCTTCCTGAGGTGTGGGCATCTCAGTCCTGTCTCTTTGGCTCCCACCATTCATTTCTTGGGCCAGGCAAGTGGGCAAGCAAGCAGGGTCCCCGGGAGGATGCAAGGTAGCCCTCCCCCCCACCCCCACTGCTCACCTGAGCAATATTCTTTTTGTTCCAGAAAAGAACAACTTGTCTTTCATTGAGACCTCAGCCTTGGATTCCACCAACGTCGAGGAAGCTTTCAAGAACATCCTCACAGGTGGTCACTGGGCCTGGCTGGGGCCACAGTAACCCCAACATGCCCACTGTGGGTGGGCCTGGGAAGGGCACCGTCCACCCTGGTTGCCTGCTCCAGAACACAGTCCCTGAAGCTTTATTCTTGAAACCTGCAAGCCGGTCTGGACATGAGGACAGACACGGTGTGCTTCCTGGGATCAGGCCAGATCCTGAGGACACAGAGACCCCCCCCTCTGCCGTGGCCCCACCCCAGAACAGCCAGCTGGGTCAGCGGCGGGGGCCCAGGGCCCCTGGGCTCCTGGGCGTTTATTCTGAGGAGGAGGGGCCTCTGATCTTACAAGAGAAGAGGCGGGGCTGGGGGGGGTTAGCTCTGTGACCAGACGTGGGTCCCGGCCTCGCTGAGCACCCAGCCAGCACTTGGTGACCCGGTGGGAGCCTCCAGGAGCCCAGCCCCTGCTGTCTTTCCCCCCGACATGATGGGGGGACACACGGGGCACAGAGGGGGGGCCTTTAAGAGGGGTCTTGGGCTCAGCCTGGGGGGGAGCTCCCCAGAGGGCACTGAGGTCCAGATGTGTCACCCCGCATTCCCCCACCCGCAGAGATCTACCGCATCGTGTCACAGAAGCAGATCGCAGACCGCGCAGCCCACGATGAGTCCCCCGGCAACAACGTGGTGGACATCAGCGTGCCGCCCACCACCGACGGACAGAAACCCAACAAGCTGCAGTGCTGCCAGAACCTGTGAGCGCCCCGCGGCCCGCCCGCGTGCGCGTGCACGTGCGCGTCCCCGTCCTCCGCCCGCCCCGCCCCGCGCTGCGCTCCCCTGCCCCGCCCTCTCCGTCCCTCCCACCGAGCTCCGCATGGCTGGCCGCGGCCCCGGAAGAACAGGAAGAACAGGAGTCGTCGAGTGGCAACTGCTGTCCCCGCTCGAGGAAAACCAGACCAGACGCCCGGGTCGCCGCGCCTGCTCTTCTCGGGTCCCAGGGTGCATCTCGGCGGGCCAGGGAGGGTGGCAGGCTGGACAGGGCCGGCCAGAGGCGAGGAGGAGGGGCGTGCCGAGCGGGCTTCTCCAGTTTTCCACGGCAGACTCCAGGGAGCGATCGCCTTCCTCCCTCTGTGGCCAGTTGGCCCCACTGACCCCCCCCCCCCCCCCCCCCAATCCGCACCCAGAACCCCCTTCCGAGCTGATGCTCGAAGAGCAAGGCGCCAGGGGGCCGGGGCAGGCGGACACTCTTGGCTCCCGGCCCCCTTGCTCCCCCACGCACAGCCAGCAGCGGCACACGCCTTCGACCTCTCCTGTGCGTGCGCGACTCCAGCTCCTGCCTGTAGATTTATGCTGGGACAAGACCCCTCTCCCCCCTCACCCTCCTTTTGCACGCAGCGCGCTCTCCAGCCCCTTGGGCCCCTCTGTGTCTTGTCTCCCGTCTTGTCAGGAACCTGTTTGCAAGTGAAGCAATATCTCCGTGTTTTGTATATACAACCGCTCTTGTAGCCTTTGGTTTTTTTGTTATTGTAGAGAAACACAGATTCTTTATACACTTTGTAAGATTGACGCCAAACCCCAGCTCTCGACCTCTTATTCTCCCTGTGGCCCCCGCACTGTTGCCCCGATGCCTCATTTCTTCCGCCCGTTACTAAAATGTATAATCCGACTTCCTGTACAGAAACCTGCCGCTGCGCCTTTGTCTTCATTCTCTCCGCCAGGCGGCCACGGCTGGGCCAGGGCTTCCCGAGGCACACGTCCCGCTGCGGCCTGCGTCGGCCCGGCTCAGCCCCGCAGGGAGCTAGAAGAGCAGGTCCAAGCGCCACCCGGGACAGTGCGGAGGCCCGCGAGCTGACCACGGGGGCCTTGGCCTGCGGGGGAGGGGTGGGTGCCCTCTCCAAGCTGCCCCTGTGGCTGGGGGATGTTATTCAACTTCTCGGCCCAGGAGCTGAGGGTGCCTCCTGGCAGGGGCTGACCTGTGCCCACTGTTCCCCATTCCCAGCCCTGGGGTTGGACTGTCCTCGCTTCCATCTGCTGCCCACGGCCGCGGCCTCCCCTGGGGTCCCGTCAAGGACAAGCAAGAGGGGCGCGACCAGGGGATGTTGGTGATACCGGCGCCACCCCAGCTCTCCCCATGCCAGGCTGCCCTTTAAGGAGGGCCCAATGGGAGGACGCTGGTGACAGAGGGGAGGCAGGCGGCCTGGAGTTCCTCTGCCTCTCCCCAGGATCCAGCTTCTCCCCTGGTCCATGTGGGCAGAGCTGGCCTGAGGGCCATTTGCCACTATGGTGGAAGTGTTGCTGTCCCCCTCCCCTCCCAGGCCTGTGTGGATCCCTCCCACCCCCATCCCTGCCCTGACCATGTGACCCAGTAACTCCTCTCTCACCTGAGTGCCTGCAGCTGTTCTAGAAGCTCTACCCTCTCGCTGAAGCCACTTATGCCCTTGACCCCTTGAAGAGCCACCAGAGATGGGGGTCTACGTCTCCCAATGTCAGGCTTTGGCCACCCTGCCTGGAGAGCTGGGCAAACCCAGGCAGTCTTTCCAGAAGAGTCCTGAGCCACAGGGGGCTGTTCCCATAGGGGAGTTGGAGTGAGGCAGGGTGTGTGCTCCAGGCCAGGGGGCATCCTGAGCCAAGGCCAGCAGTAGGACAGCGGGGGATCTGGTGGGGCCACAAGCACTCCAGGGGCCATTCACTCAGACCCTGGGGGTGCCGAATCTGGATTTGGGCAGGGTGGGCATGGGGAGGACAGAGGGTGGGCAGAGGCTTCAGGCAGGCTGGGTGAAGTAATGAGGCACCCTGCAAGGTTTCAGGCAGTCCAAAGATCAGATCTCTCCTGAGCCTCCGTGGATTGGCCGGGCCCGAGGCACATGCCAGGGAACGAGACTGAGATGACATTGTCCCCTTGGGGGTTACAGTCCAGCGATGCTGTTTCAGTTACTCTGATTTCAGTGATGTAGTAAGCCCAGCATGTTCACTCAGTGCCAGGCACTGTTCTTAAGTCTGTTTTTTTTTTTCAATGGTGATAAAATACACAACATTAAATTGGCCATCTTGACCACTATTCTGTGTACAGCTCAGTGGCATTAAGTATATTCAGTGTTGAGCAACCATCCCCACCGTCCGTCTCCAGAACTCTTCATCTTGCAAAACTGAGACACTGTCCCCGTGAAGCACCATCTCCCCACCCCCTGCCCCATCCCTGGCTCCCATCATCTACTTCCTGTCTGTGCATTTGACTCCTCTAGGGACCTCTAAGTGGAATCCTACAGTATTTGTTCTTTTGTGACTGGCTTATTTCACTTAGTATAATGTCTTCAAGGTTCATCCACGTTGTAGCAGGTGTTAGAAGTTCCTTTTTAATAAAAGGCTGAATGATAACCCGTTGTATGGATAGTCCACTCCTTGCTTATCCATTCATCCATCGATGGATATTTGGGTTGCTTCCACTTGTTGGCCATTGTGGAGCATGCTGCTGCGAGCACGGGTGTACAGATAGAGGTGTTCAGGTCCCTGCTTTCAGCTCTTTTGGGTAGATAGCCAGAAATGGAATCGCTGGGTTATAGGGTAACTCTGTGTTTAATTTTTCCACAAACTGTGTTAACCTAAATGAATTATATCATTTAAAATTGGAGAGAGGGGCGCCTGGGTGGCTCAGTCGGTTAAGCGTCTGCCTTCGGCTTAGGTCATGGTCTCAGGGTCCTGGGATCAAGCCCCAGGTTGGGCTCCCTGCTCAGCGAGGAGTCTGCTTCTCTCTCTCCCACTGCTCCTCCCCCTGCCACTTGTGTTCTCTGTCTCTCAAATAAATAAAATCTTTAAAAAATAAAAGTGGAGAGAATAGTCTAACTCCCATAAGCCCACTACCCAACTTCAACCAATCTGGTTTCACCCCATTCTCTTCCTGTGTGCAAATCCTGGACATATCCCCCCCTCTAAATATTTTTTTTTAAGATTTTATTTATTGATTTGACAGAGCACAAGCGGGGAGAGCAGCAGGGAGAGGGAGAGGGAGAAGCAGGCTCCCTGCTGAGCAAGGAGCCTGATGTGGAGCTTGATCCGAGGACCCCGGCATCATGACCTGAGGCGAAGGCAGACACTTAACCAACTGAGCCACCCAGGCGCTCTCTTTTTTTAAGGAGATTTTTTAAAAGATTTTATTTATTTGAGAGAGAGAGAGAACAGGCAGGGGGAGGGGCAAAGGGAGAGGGAGAAGCAGGCTCCCAGCTGAGCAGGGAGCCCCACACGGGGCTGGAACCCAGGACCCTGGGATCATGACCTGAGCCAAAGGCCGACGCCCAACTGACTGAGCCACCCAGGCACCCCATTCATTTAAAAATGTACATCCAGTGGTTTTAGTACATGCACAAGGTTGTGCAAACACCACACTGTAATTCAGAATTTTTTTTCATCACTCTAAAAAGAAATCTCATATCCATTAAGCAGTTCCTCCCCATTTCCCCTTCTCCAGTCCCTGGCAACCACCAATCTGCTTTTTGTCTCTGTGGACCATGGTGTTATTTCCCATGTGCCTTTGTCCCCTGCATTTCCTGTAAATGAATAGTTAGATCTAGAGATTGATCAGATTTAGGGCTGAGTGCTCTGTAGGTGGTGTGTGCACACACCAGGAGACAGATGATGTCAGCGTGTCTCTTATTTGTGATGTTTGCAGCTGCTGCAAAGCATCACCTAGATTCACAATCCATTAGGGGTTATGAAATTCAAAATCTAGCTTTCTGCATTTATTTCTGGAATACATCTATAAAGAGAAGTTTCCCTTCATCTAATATGGTTACCCTGAGGTACAGATTGTAAAGGTCAGCATAAACACTTAATTCTTTCTTGTCAATTTCCGAATTTCGTAATTTTCAAGATTTTGAGTTGGTTCCCGAGAGGCCTTCAAAAATGACTGATTATTTTTTTTAGTAAAATGCATGGATTCAGCTCCTTTGTTGGGGCCAAGCTTTCAACCAATGTGCCCAATGGGAGTGGAATTCGGTAGGAGGTATATATCTGGGACTGAGTTTTTTTTAAAGATTTTATTTATTTATTTATTTGACAGAGAGAGCACAAGTAGGCAGAGAGGCACGCAGAGGGAGAGGGAGAAGCAGAGTCCCCACTGAGCAGGGAGCCCGACGTGGGGCTCGATCCCAGGACCCTGGGATCATGACCCGAGCCGAAGGCAGCCGCTTAACCGACTGAGCCACCCAGGCGCCCCTGGGACTGAGTTTTGACGAGTGTATCTAGGAGTTAGGTTTCACATGGGGTGGGGGGAGTGGAAAAATGAGTAAATGCATTTAGGATCACAGGAGTCAGGGAAGGAAGTTAGAAACGTGAAGTGTCTGGGATAAACTTTGGTGTTGGTTTAGAATTAGGGGCATTGGTGTGCACTCATGGTTTTAAAGATGGATGGGTGATGGATGGATGGACAGATAGATTATAGGTAGATAAATGTCTATATATAGGTACATACACATGTATTAGAATGAGGAAAGTAAGAATTGATAACACGATAGCTGTGAGCACACCTAGCACCCAGATCTTGGTTTTTAAATATTGTTCCCCATTAAAACCAGGGCTCCTTAGAGAAATGGTTGTTTCCAGAGCTGAGGCAGGTAAAAATACAAGAAAAAGCCACCTTGGAACATTTTGTTGAGCCAGTATAAAAGGAAAAAAATCATCTTTTGGCAACCATTATCCGATAAAAAAAAAAAAAAGAGACAGCCATGGCTAACACCTCCATGCCACTCCCTTCTTCCTGCCTTGATTGAGGATGTGATGCCTGGAACCACAGCAGCCATCTCACTACCATGAAGAAAAGGCCAAGAGACTCTCAGAGTCATCATTTGACCAAGCCAAAGCCAGCAGCCGTCCTCCTGCAGAATTCTTGTAAGTAAAAATAAAACCCTCTTTGCCAAAGTAATCACAACAACAACAAAATTAAAACAAAACAAAACATTGATTCAGTCAAGTGTCATCAATGGTTAATAAACCTAGTGGGTGAAGGTTTGTTGAGGAACCAGATATTTAATTCAAAGTATTTTCCCATAAAGCACTATTGACAAGTACAACATACTATCTCAGGCTGGAGACCTGGCAGACACCATTTTATTTTATTTATTATTTTTAAAGATTTTACTTACTTGTCAGAGAGAGAAAGAGCATGTGAGCACAAGCAGGGGGAATGGCAGGCAGAGAGAGAAGCAGGCTCCCTGTTAAGCAAGGAGCCGGATGCAGGATTCGATCCCAGGACCCTGGGATCGTGACCTGAGTCAAAGGCAGACACTTAACTGAGCCACTCAGGCATCCTGGCAAACACCATTTTAACCAGGCTAGCATACTCAGTAATGGAAGAAATCAACATTCTATTCTTCCTTGCATCTGCACTGAGAACACGTTATCACTTCTGCAGTTCCTGTTCCAAATGCACAAATCCTGACAAAACATTAGACAAATGCAAATTGAGGAACTTTCTACAAAATAACTAGCTTATACTCTTCAAAAGTATCAAGGTCATGAAAGACAAAGATTGACGAACTATTGCAGCGTGAATGACGCTGAGTAGAAAAATACAAAGTGTGATCGGGAATGGATGCTGGAACTTTAAAAGACTTCATTGGAAGCTTTGAATGGGATTTGGGAACTATGTGGTAATATTGGATCAATAATAATTTCCTGATTTTGAAGGTGGTACTGTGGTTATGTGGAAGAGTGTGCTTATACTTGAGAAATATACACTGAAAAACAAAGAAAAATATACAGTGAAGGGGTTGCCTGCCTGGCTCTCGGCAGAGCATGCAACTCTCGATCTTGAAGTCCTGAGTTCAAGCCACACATTGGGGGTCGAGATTACTTAAAAGTAAACAAACAAACAAATTTAAGAAAAAAAGAAAATATTTTAAAAAATCAAAGGGGACGCCTGGGTGCTTCAGTTGGTTAAATGTCTGCCTTCGGCTCAGGTCATGATTCCAGGATCCTGGGATGGAATCCTGCATCCGGCTCCTTGTTCGGCAGGGAGCCTGCTTCTCCCTCGCCTGCCGCTCCCACCGCTTGTGTTCTCTCTCTCTCTCTCTCTCTGACAAATAAATAAAATCTTTAAAAAAATAAATAAAATAAAGGATTCAGGGTGCTTGGCTGGCTCAGTCCACAGAGCTTGTGACTCTTGGTCTTAGGGCTGTGAATTCGAGCCCTACATTGGTATGGAGCCTACTTAAAGATTAAAAAAAAAATTTAATAAAAATAAAAATAGGGCGCCTGGGTGGCTCAGATGGTTAAGCGTCTGCCTTCAGCTCAGGTCATGATCCCAGGGTCCTGTGATCGAGTCCCGCATCGGGCTCCCTGCTCCTTGGGAGCCTGCTTCTCCCTCTGCCTCTCTCTCTCTCTCTCTCTCTCTCTCTCTCTCTCTCTCTGTCTCTCATGAATAAATAAATAAAATCTTTAAAAAAATAAAAATAAAAATAAAGGATTCAGAAATATTAAAAATTGGGGCATCTGGGCAAAGGGTCTATGGGAGCTCTGCGTATTACTTCTGCAACTTTTATGATGTAAATTTGACATTTTAAAAAAAAGTAAACTCTAGGGGCACCTGGGTGGCTCAGTTGGTAAGGCGACTGCCTTCGGCTCAGGTCATGATCCTGGAGTCCCCGGATCAAGTCCCGCATTGGGCTCCCTGCTTGGCGGGGAGTCTGCTTCTCCCTCTGACCCTTCCCCCTCTCATGCTCTCTCTCTCTCTCAAATAAATAAATAAAATCTTTAAAAAAAAAAAAGAGTGACATGCTCTACCAACTGAGTCGGCCAGGCGACCCGACATTATTTAAAGAATTTTTAAAAACCCCGGTAAATGGATTTTTTTAAGGTTTTATCTTATTTTTTTAAGGAATCTCTATACCCAACGTGGGTCTTGAACTTGCAACCCTGAGATCAAGATTCACATGTTCTACCAGCTGAGCCAGCCAGGCTTCCCCCAGTAAATGGATTTAAACATTTCATGTGTTTAGATCTACTGCACCCATTACCCTTACTGAAGGGCAAATTATCCCACTTGTGGCCAGTGAGAGCTTTTTCTAGTTGACTCCTACTGACACTACCTTACTAGGTAATGTCTTTGAGAACACCTGCGCTTTCTGGTATATCAGATTGTGCCAGGTTCATCTTGTACATTTCCTGCCCCAGACCCAGAATCAGGTATTTCCCTGGTTCATTCAATTGGAAGCGATATTTAGAGACTATGATCTGGGCTTAAGGAGTGCTGATGGCAACAAAGTCAGTCTTTGTTTCAGACCTTTTCAGTGGACAGAGCTAGGAAATGTTTGCTTTTTTGCAAAGATAAAATATATTGTGATGCTCCCAATTCAAGTTCAAGATTATAGGGTTTTTACTCACATAATCAACCTTATGTCTGTACCTCCTTCACTCCCTCTGAAAATCCCAGTCCTTAACATGAACGTATTACCCTGGGTGGCTCAGTCATTGGGCATCTGCCTTCGGCTTGGGTCATGATCCCAGGGTCCTGGGATTGGGCCCCGCCTCGGGCTCCCTGCTCGATGGGGAGCCTGCTTCTCCCTCTCGCACTCCCCCTGCTTGTGTTCCCTCTCTCGCCGTGTCTCTCTCTGTCAGATAAATAAATAAAATCTTTAAAAAAAAAAACCTAAGGGGCGCCTGGGTGGCTCAGTTGTTAAGCATCTGCCTTCGGCTCAAGTCATGATCCCAGGGTCCTGGGATCGAGCCCCGCATTGGGCTCCCTGCTCGGCGGGGAGCCTGCTTCTCCCTCTCCCACTCCCCCTGCTTGTGTTCCCGCTCTCGCTGTCTCTCTCTCTGTCAAATAAATAAATAAAATCTTAAAAAAAAAACAACCTAAATATGCAATAGGCCTAGAAAAACAATTGCAACATCACCATCAACAATATAGTAGTGGTTTGTAGGGTTAAATTGTCGTTTTAAAGTCACTAGACGTTCATCTCTCTGTTGTTTTGTCACCAACTGGATACAGAAGTTTCTCTGTTTTATTTTCGTTTTTAGGGCTACCTTTACACTTTAAAATTTGTTTTATAATTATAAACAATATTTTACATGGTTGTAAAGCCAAATATATAAAACAAGGTATATTTTTAAAAGTCTGCTTGTATCTCTGTCCCCTTCCTCCTTCTTCTAACCTTTTAAACAATGTTATGATTTATCTTTTCACTTTTGAAAAATAAAGCTAGTACAACACAACAGAATGTAACTGAGTTAATCGAATTGCTTCATATGTTTCATAAAGGCAGGGCAGGAGGGGAGAGGAGTACTGAGGGAATTCTCCATCCTACCTCAGGCCCTTCGCATGTGCCTGAACTCTCTGCCTGGGATACTTCTCCCCTCTTTTTTCTTAGTTCACCTCTGCTCTGTCTCAGTTGTCAGTTCAATTGCTTTTTCCTTAAGGAAGTAGTTTTGGACTTTCCAAATTATTCCATGATATGTCCCCCTCACTTGCTACAATTCATTACTTTTGTAATTAAGAATTAATTACAGGGCACCTGGGTGGCTCAGTCCTTAAGCGTCTGCCTTCAGCTCAGGTCATTATCCCAGGGTCCTGGGATCGAGCCCCGCATCGGGCTCCCAGCTCCGCGGGAAGCCTGCTTCTGCCTCTCCCACTCCCCCTGCTTGTGTTCCTTCTCGCTGTGTCTCTCTCTGTCAAATAAATAAATAAAATCTTCAACAACAAAAAAGAATTAATTACACAATTGGTTAATTCCCTAGGGTAAGGTCCACGAAGGCAACAGTATTTGTCTTACTCAACCCTGTGTCCCCAGAGCCTAGCACAGTGCCTGGCTCATAACAGGCCCTCTTTTTGATGTTTATTACATCTAGTGAATGAACCTACTGCCTGAATGAATGAGCAAGTGAATGATGAACAAATGATGTTGGCTTTAGGCTCTTCCACGGCCCCCTAACCTCTCTCGGCTGCCGTTTTCCCTCTGTAAAGTGTGATCATACGGTTCCTCTCTCTTTCCCTCCCAGAATTAATGAGAAGCATATGGGAGGTGATGAACACTTACAAATCCCTTAGCTGGGTGTCACGTTCAAGTCTTTTAACAGTTAGCTAGCACTGGTCGTCGGCAGGTGGCGCCATCAACTCCGCTCGTGCCCCCCGCCGGGATGGGGCGGGATCAGGGTTGGGGGTGGAGCCGGAGCTGGGGGCGGAGTTAAGACGCGGTGGGGGCGGAGCCACAGCTGCGGCGCCGCGGGGCCTGTGCGGCCCAGGACGTCCCTGTCGCCTCCGGCCCCGCCTCCCAGGGCGGGACGTGCATGGGGATTGGCTAGTGCGGGCGAGAGGCGGTCGCCATTGGTCCGTGGCACCGTCGGGTCGGCGGGCGGTGTCCGGACGCAGGTGCCGGCCGGAGCGGAGCTGGCGGCGCTGACGGGACCGGCCGGGCCGGGACCGGGGCCGGGGCTAGTGGAGGGGCCTGCGCGGCCGCCCGGCCCGGCCGCGGGTCAGGTAGGCACGGGCGGGCGGGCGGGTGGGGTTGGGGGGAGGCGCGGGTCCGCGGGCCGGCCCCGGGTTCGAGGCCCGAGCCTGGCTCCCGAGCGGGACGATCAGGTTCAGACCGTCGGCCTCAGCCTTCTCCGGAACGGGGTATCGCAATTCCCGTCTCGAGGACGGCGGGAGGTCCCCAGGACCCGGCACACAGTAGGTGCCTCTCCGAGCCTCGGCTTCCTCAGCTGTGAAACCGGGTCATCCCAGCGCCAACCTAATGGGGCTTGTTGGGAGAATTCAGAAGGTGGCGGATGAGGAAAGACCCTTGCACGGAGTAGGCTGTCAGTAAGCGCCTTCCTCAACCTCCTTCCAGCGGGGCTCTGCCTGGGAAATAGTAAATATTATAATGACCCAGGGACCGTCTACAAAGGACTTGCTTAGCGGAGTGCCTGGCTGTTAGTGGGTGCTCAAAACGGGGTAGCCAGAATTTATATGATTCTCTTATTTAGTCCTCTAGGGACCTTAATAGGTGGAAGTACTAGAAATGTTCCCTGTTAGATGAAGAAATTGAGGCTCAGAGAAGTCTTTTCTCTTGGGGCCATACATCCAAGGAGAGCAGAGCTGGGCTTAAACCTGGCCTCCAATGCAGGGCCACGCAAGGACTGCAGGACACACAGGAGCCTCTCTCTGGTGAGCGAGGAGGAATGAATGCATTTTACAGGCTCCACATTTCTTCTAAAAATAATAGCAGCATTTAGTGCGCACTCACTGTGTGCCAGGTTCTGGCTGTGCCTTGTCTCATCAAACCCTCTAACAGCTCTGTAAGCTGATGACAGTAATCGTTAAGAAGAGCTAATATTTACTGACTTCTTAATAATTAGGGGTGTACGAGCGGGGTATTGTTATGACCTTCCTTTTACAGGCGAGAAAACAGGCCCAGAGAGTGAAGCCGTTTGCCTGAATGGGCACCGTTAGGGCCCTCTGACTCCTCTTCCTGTAGTTTCTTGCCCTCGGGGAAAGGACGCTGGACAGGTTGCTTTGCCTCAGCGCCACCCCAGGTGGGCCTAGACAAGGACAAGCTTTGCCGGAGGAATTGAGCCCGGGGGCTCCTTCTCAAGAGTCCCTCAGCAAAGTCCATCAGCTCCATCAACTTACTTGACAAAAGAGAAGGATGAGGCCCAGAGAGGCAAAGTGGCTTGTTCCTGGACACACGGCATCAGGGACAGAGTCAAGATTTTAAAAAATCCCGGTCCTCTGAGTCCTAGACCCACTCACTGGTCTAAGTTCAAATCTTGGTCCTGTCCCTTCTTAGCTGTGTGATCTTGGGCAAGTAGCTGCCCCTCTCTGAGCCTCAGTCTCTTCACCTGTCAAATGAGGGTAATTATTAGATTTATGTCATAGATTTGTTGTGAAGACTCAGTGAAATCTATCCCCAGGCATTGGGCCAAGTTCACTTGAGGCATCGGCTCACTCGCAAAGCCCAGCAGCCCCACAGCTGAGTCCAGCCTTGAGTTTAGCCCCTTCCAAGCCCAGGCTTCTGTGGTTTGCACAAACCTCTAGCCTCTAGACATCCTTGATTTCCACCACGGGCCCTGGCAGACCAAGGTATGGGGGTCAGGAGGGTCCTTCCCCCTTGCTCTCACACAGAATAGGGGCTGAGAAATGAAACGCAGCAACTTTGTGCCCAACACAGGGCAGACGCCAGGGACGACAGAGTGCATGTCCAACCTGGTCCCCCCTTCCCAGAGCTCACCGAGAGTGAAGAAATAAGAGCACTTCAGGGAGGGGCACATTCCACGAACACAATAACGTGGTCACCAATGGCACTTTGGCCAGGATGGTCAGGGAAGGCCTCTCCAGGCAGGTGATCTTTGAAGGGGACGCTTAGGGCAACTGTTTAGAGTTCAGCGAGCTTCTCAGTACCCAGCATGCGGTAGGTCCTTAACGAACTGTAGCTGCTGTCATAATTTTGATTTTCAGGCCTTGCTTTAGCAGATTTACTGATGAATCCCCCCCCCCCCAATAGTAACAGAAATGGCAGAACTTAATATATGGGAGCTGTGATGATTCTCGGAATGCCCAATTCCTTGCAGGAATGTTAAGGCTGATGCTTGGAGGGGTGAGAAGAATGGATTCCCCTCTATGAGCCCAGAGGCTTCCCTGTTGACCTCTGAGCTGGAAGTTCCTCGAGAGGGATAGGAGTGCACACAACATGCCAGGCCCCCCGCCACCGCTGCCCTGGGGATGTTATCTGGGCCAAGCAGTCTTCCTCCCTGCTTCTCCTGCCTCTGGGCTGATATTTGCTTATCTGGCTGGCAGCGGCCCAGCTGTGGAGGCTCTGGAGGGCACGGTGGGCCAGGAAGGCTTCTGGCTGAACTGTTCAGAGGGTGCTGATCCGTGGGCAGATGATGGCCTTGGTGCAAAGAGTTAGTCAATCACTTACTCTGGCTTTTCCCCTTCTGTCTTAGGTGTCAGATTTGGCCGGCAGGGGTTGGTAAAAGCTGACTAGGGGGTGCCTCACTGAGTGTTTCTGGCATCTCTGGACTGCAGCTCCTGGAGACAGAGGCCTGAGGATAAGACCTCAGGGACCCTTGGCTCCAGGGTTCCTGTGTTGCCTCTGTTACTTCCAGGAAGTTCTCAGGGGAAACACACAAGGTCTCACTGGCTCCTTCTGGGACGGGGGTGGAGGCTGCCAAGGGTTACTTTTGGCAGAACAGACCCTAGAGTAGGGGGGAGAATAGTGCTGAAACCCCCCACCCAGAGAAGACTTGAGGTCGCTGCCTAAGTCTCCGGCCATCTCCCACTGCTTCTCCTTGAGGACACGGGCATGGCTTGGATTACCTGCTCCAGTAGGAACAGAGGCTGCCCGAGTCCTTCCCAGCCTGCGTCGTTTTCCTGAAGGCCTGAGGTGTCCAGGAGATATCAAACCAGGATGCCCCATCCTGGTCTGTTTGCCCAGGTTTCTAGCTCAGTTCTGCCCAACTCCAAGGCAGGCTCACATGCTGTGAGCTCAGCCCTGGAAATCCAGTCCAAGGAGAACAAGTGTCTAGGTGGTCAGCGGGCAGGGTTCTAGCCCACAAAAGCCCCAAGCACAAGGCCTGGCACACAGCAGGCACTCAGTAACTGTTCGGGGCCCTTACCGGGTCTGGAGAGGTGATGCTGGGGGTGGCCTACAGGCCTTGAGGGCTGAACCTGGCTGGCCCTTCCCAGGAGGGTTAGAGGTAATAAAACCAAGCCCCTACTGTGCATCAGGCCTAGGCTGAGTTACAAGTGGCATCTCATTGAAGCCCCCATTTTACAGATTGGGCGACTGAGGCTCCGAGAGCTGCATTCAAACCCCGGTCAGTGTTTGGCTCGATATCCTTGCCCTTAACCTCCCTACCGGCCTCTCCCCAGGCTCCTGGGACCATGGGCCTCAGGCCCTGAGGACGCAGGGCTCCCTGTGGCCATGACGACGGGTGACTGCTGCCACCTCCCTGGCTCCCTGTGTGACTGCTCGGGCAGCCCTGCCTTCTCCAAGGTCGTGGAGGCCACTGGCCTCGGGCCACCCCAGTACGTGGCGCAGGTGACTTCAAGGGATGGCCGGCTCCTCTCAACCGTCATCCGAGCCTTGGACACGTCAAGGTGAGTGGCGCCCGAGCAGGGGTCTTTGCCTTCACTCGCTTTACTCTCTGGGCCGAGTGATTTTCTTCCAGTCTGGGGTCAGAAATCCAAACATCTAGAGGGACCAGGTGGGCGAATAAACCAAGGAAAGGGGCCCCAGTCATAACTGCAGTGCAGATACAGAGGCCCCGGCTGGCCAGGTCTGGTTCTCCAGGAAAAGCGGAAATTCCAGATTGTCAGGTGGAATCTGAAGATTAGATGGTGGGAAGTAGCTCATAGTTTGGAGAGGCATGATAAGGAAGCGGTTCACAGTACCACAGTACCACAGGCTGTGGATTCGCAGCACCTGAGCTCAAATCCTGCCCTGTAGCCCCTCTCCCTCTGGGACCCGGGACAACTTACTTTACCCTCGTCTCTTGGAGATGGGGACACCTTCCTCATCGCATTGTTCCGAGAGTCCCTTGCTGTGGTCCACATACGGTGTGGTTGGGCACCTCGTATGCATTCGATAAAAGTACTGTATTTAAGCCCCGGTGCGGGCCTTCCAGAACCCCATGTGAGCTGCCGCTGCCTGGTTTGCCAATTTGTCATCATTTCCAAGGGAAAGAGTTTGAGGTAAACCCTTCAAATCTGAATCTGAATCCATTTTCACTCATGGGGATTTAAAACAGCCACCAGGTTGGCTAAGGGAACAAGACTCTGAGTGATATCTTTTTCTTTTTAATTTTTCAAGTTTTTCGCATTGTCATCAGGTTTATCTACTAAGATTTCATTCCTAAGTTCTTTTCCAGTTTTGTTTTTTAATTGTGGTAAAATATAGATAACCTAAAATGTTCCATTGTAACACTTTTTAAGTATACAGTTAGTTCAGTGGTACCCTCACACTGTGGTGCAACCACCCCCACCACCCGTCTCTAGAATTTTCTCCCCAAACTGAACCTCTGTCCCCATGAAACACGGACTCCCCGCCCCCTCCCCCACCCTGCGCCCACCATTTCCTCTCTGTCTCAGCAAATGTGACTCCTCCAGGGAGCTCCTAGAAGTACAATTGCATGGTATTCATCTTTCTGTGACTGGCTCGTTTCACTGAGCTTCATGTCGTCAGGATTTATCCGTGTTGTGGCCTGTGTCAGAATTAATTCATAAGCTGTTCATTCCAACATCCAAAGAAGCAGATGGGAGGCCTTGCAGTGCTCTGGAGGGAGCTCACTGCCATTCACCCTCCGAGTCTTTGCTTGGCGTCACTTCCGGCAGGAAGCCTCGCTCAAGCCCAGATGATATGGAGAGTTCTCCTGGGCCTCCTCCGGGGTGTGGGTTTTTATGCTCGCATCTCCATCAGCCCCTTGAAGGCAAGACAGAGTCTGTGCTGGGCAAACCAGGCTGGGAGCGAGGGGACATTTGGTAGGGTAGGGGGCCTGGGAAGAGGCTGACCAAGGCTAGGGTGTCCCTACCTGGAGTGCCTGAGGGGCACTGAGTGAGCTGACCCCGCTTTGCCCCACCCTCCTTCCTGACACCTGGGAAAACTGAGGCCCAGAGGGAGGCAGACACCTGCCAGTGTCACTGAGCATTGCTGAAGCTTGAACCCGGGGCTCCTGCTTGGGTTGGAAGGGGAGAAGCTTGTTCAGTCCCACCAGCCAGTCTTGCAGTCCTCAGAGGCAGGGCAAGAGGCAGGGAGCAGAGAGTCCCTCAGTGACCCCCCCTGATGGTAAGGACAGCCATGCCCGCAAGACCACCAGGCCCTCTTGATCTGCTCCTTGGCCTCTTTGCTCATGGCTTCTCCCCTCTGATTTTTTTTTTTTAAGTCATCTCTACACCCAACGTGGGGCTCAAACTCATGACCCTGAGATCAAGAGTCACAGGCTCCACTGACTGAGCCCGCCACGTGCCCCTCCCCTCTGAGTTTTGATAAAACTCATCCCAGACCTGCCCAGGCTGGGGACCAGGGCAGAACCACCCTCCCAGAGAGAAGGCTGCTGTTTGTCCAAAGGGTTCTCATCCTCTTGAGCCTTTGGCGCTCTGCCTACCAGCCCGTGAGCGAGCCCAGGCCCTCCTCGAAGCTTCCCAGAGCATATCTGCACCCTCAGCCCTTCCTTCCTCCTGGCCTTCCCCTGCTGCCCTTTCCACGTGGCTTCTGCTGGCTTCCTTGCCCACACTCTCCCCTCTCTTGCTCTCGGAGTGTGCCCTGGGCAGCCCCACTAAGGCTCCCCCCGCCCCACTCCCGGTCCATTTCCTTCTCATCTGTGCCATTTGCGTTATTTTCCTGCCAGAACTTCATGAGTGAAGGCCGTTTCTCTTGTCCTGCTGTCTGGAACGGTGTAGGCAGTGTAGCATGGCCACTGAGGGGGGCCCAGGCCCCAGCTTTGTGGGCTACTAGCCGTGTGAGTTCACGCAAACAGGGTCACCCCTTGCTGCCTCAGTTTCCCCATCTGTGAAAGGAGGGCAAAATAGCCCCTTCCTCGCAGGTTCCCTGGGAGAATAACAGATTCGTCCACGTGCTGCCCTTGGAACAGGGCACGGTCCTTAATCAGTGCTCGGCAAGAAGTCAGGTTTCATTTTGTTTTGTTTTCTCTGAAGTGGCTTTTCGAAAAAAGTAGGGTTCCCCGGGACAAACCCCAAACTGACATGGCCCTTCCTCAAGGTTCTGGTTCCTTCCACTTCCTGGGGTTGCCTTCCGGAGCAGGGATTCCTTTCCTGTTAACTCTGGGCAGGGGTGCTGTGGGATCAGGGTGGAGCCCGGTACAGCCTTTTGACATCATAGGGGACGGCACAGGATTGACAAGAAAGTAGCCATGAGAGGTCCGCTCAAGGTTTTGGCTTCAAAGCAGCCAGGCTCTGCCCCACAGCGGGAGATGCTGAGGAGGCAATAGAAAACAGTTTCTGAGGGGAAACTGGTGTTATCTGGAAAATGGCCCTCCTGCTCTGCCTCCTTCGTGTGTTCCTGCAGTCCACCCTCCGGGCAGAAATGTTTGGAAAACAATGACTCATGTGCTGGACAGCCTCTGTGCCCACCAAGGCCACACCCCCAGCCCTGAGCTGCCCCCCCAGGAAGGACCCAGTATCCCTAGAGACCGGGCTGGGGCTGAGGCTTCCCTGAAGTGGCTTCCTGTGGAAGCTTGTTATGTCTGTCTTCTGAGCCTACCTAGGACACAGGAGCAGGGGAACTACTCTCCCTGGATGCACAGGTTTCTCAAGTAGTGTGGCCTTCAGGTGAGGCTAGATCCAGGGCCTCTGATGGTGTCCTTGAGAATCTGTCTTTCCCTGTCGCTTGGCTCTGCTTTCCTCTGTTTGGCATCATTCACAGACTCCACATGGGGACCAGACTGCTGCCATCAGCTCCAGACTTACATCAGCCTTGCTGTCTCTAGTTCTGGAGTTGAGGGGGCGGGGAGAATTTCAGGAATTAATCACAGTGACTCTGATTGCTTCACACATGCCTTTCCCTGAATCAGTCCTGGTGACCAGGGGTGTGTGGTGTTCTAATCGGTCAGGCCTGAGGTCATCAGGGGTGTTGTCAGCTCTGCTCTAGTCCTTGAGGACCGAGACTTGAGAGGGGTTTGGTTGCCCGGGACGGTTAGGGGAGTATTACAGGGAAAGGAGAAACAGACACTAGATGGGCAGCTGAGATGCTTGCCCTGGGCCTAAAATGTGCCACAGGACCCCTGGGGAGGGAGCACATTGCTGCACTTTTGGGAATTTGGGAAAGCTTTACAAAGGAAAGGAGGTCTGGAGCTGGGCGTTGAAGGATGAGTAGGAGTTTGCCAAGTGGCAGCGCAAGGGCAATGCTGACCTTATGATCCAGTGGGCAGCGAAGCAGGCATAGGCAGGAAGCTTGGTTGTTGCTCATGCGCTCTATCTCTGTGTCTAGCGATGGTCCCTTCTGCCGGATCTGCCACGAGGGAGCGAATGGGGAGAGCCTGCTCTCTCCATGTGGCTGCACTGGCACGCTGGGTGCTGTTCACAAGAGCTGTCTGGAGAGGTGGCTCTCCTCGTCCAACACCAGCTACTGTGAGCTGTGCCACACGGAGTTTGCAGTGGAGAAGCGGCCGCGGCCCCTCACAGAGGTACGCCTGGGGGCCCCAGGTCGGAGCGGGCAGGGGGCAGGCAGACAGGCCTGGGGCTGGAGGAGGGAACTGCCCAGGAGGATCCCTCTCTATGGAGTGGACCTCCTTCTCCCCCACCCTCATGGTAGATTCTGTGGATGGGGATGGGGAACCAGGCCGAGACCCCCTTGTCCCCTCCCTATTCGGTCACCCCTGAAGCTGAGACCTGAAGAATGAGGAGCCAGCAATGCCAAGGACCCGAGCTGGGGGAGGGCAGTCCTGGCAGAGGGCACAGCAAGTGCAAAGGCCCTGAGGCCAGGAAGAGTTCGGCATGCTTGATGGTCCATGTGGCTGGAGAGGTGGCTCTCCTCTCGAGTTACAGGAGGAGGAGAGTGGCCTGGAGGAGGTATTGGCAGCTACTCTGGGCTTTGTGGGCTGTGCCCAGGAGCTTAGACTTTAGCCTGAGCGGCATGGGTCAGGCCCGAGATGAGCATTCTCGGGCGTGGTGGCTGCCGCCCTGTTCTCCGGAGCCCTGCTTGGCTGCACGGGTGCCCTCCGGACTCCTCCAGGCCTGCTTGGAAGGGGGCAGCTGAGCGCTGTAGAGTCATGTCGCTGGGCTGGGGGTGGGCTCTTGGAAAGGCCCCTGGCCCGCCCCGGGGTGGCTGGGCGTTTAGGAGAACAGTAAGGTGGGAGAGGCGGCGCCTGCCTGCACCCCTTCCCCCTTTGCCCTCGCCCTCCAGCCACATGGGCCTCCTCCCTGCTGTTCTTTGCCCAGGCCACATACGCCCATATCAGGGCCCCACATTTGCTGTTCTGCAGCCTGGGGCGCCGTCTCCCCCGTTCTTCATATGGCTGCTTCTGCTCATTCCGTTCAACTCACGGTCTCCTCCCCAACAAGGCCGTCCCCTCCCCGACCATCCACCCCATTTCATATCTCTTGCACTAGCGGGGGGGCTCCAGGAGGGCGGGGGCCCTTCTGTGCCGTTGACTGGAATTCCCATGAGTGAAGCCCACTTCTCTCACCCCTTCATCTGCGGGGGCCCTGCGACAAGACCCCCCCAGCCAGACCCCCCCCGGCTTGCAGTCCTGGCTCTGTGGGTGACCAGCGAGTTTGCACAAATGAGTCCGTCCCTCTGTGCCCTCAGTATCCCCCGTCCGTACAATGGGGGCACCTAGCAGGGCCCAGGAGCTCATCATAGGCTCAGTAAGTATGTGAGGGAAGGAAAGTACGGAGGGTGGTGCCCGGTCGGAGGCTGGTCCTGCGGGGCCTGCCCATCCAGATGGGTGTCTGCTGGTAGAGGCGCAAGGCCTGGAGGTCCCGCACCCCCATCCCCAGGCCGGGGCTTGTGGGAGGGCGGTATGAAGCCCGCCTCAGCAGCTCCTCCCCCCACCCCTGCAGTGGCTGAAGGACCCGGGGCCTCGGACAGAGAAGCGGACGCTGTGCTGTGACATGGTATGCTTCCTGTTCATCACGCCACTGGCTGCCATCTCGGGCTGGCTGTGCCTGCGCGGGGCCCAGGACCACCTCCGGCTGCACAGCCGGCTCGAGGCCGTGGGGCTCATCGCACTCACCATTGCCCTGTTCACCATCTACGTCCTCTGGACGCTGGTGAGTGGCTGCCAGCTGGAGGCATCTGGGGGTCTCTGGTTCAGAGCAGGCTGGCCAGGGCTTTGGGCAGAGGCTTGGGGGCCTCCCTGCCTGCCTCTGCCCAGGTGGAAGCGACTCCCAGCATCTCACGGAGCTCCAGATTCTGAGCCCAGCCAAGGCCCAGGGAAGCCATGGGTCAGGGGAGAGAGATGTCCTCATCTACTCCCGAGAGATGAGGACACCTGACTGGCAGTAATCAATGGAGGCCTGCCATCCACAAGCTCAGCAAGACTAGCTGGGGTCAGGGGAGAGGGAGGCTGGGAGGGTGAGAGAAAGAGCGGGAGAAAGAGAGGGACAGACCGACAGGAAGCTGCAGAGCTGGAGAGGGAAGGCCACTGGGATTGAGAAGGACTGGACTGGCAGCCATTAGGACCCTCGCCCAGAGAGGAGCCCCCCAGTGCCATCTCTTACGTCTAACCACTGTTGTCTAGCTGTGGGAGCGTTCCCGGCTCAAAAAGGATTGGCATCCACCAGCAGGTTTTTTCTTATTTTTTTTTAAAGCAAATAGTATGAAACCATAGGTACTGCTTCGTAGTCTGCCTGCTTTCGCTTTGCTGATGTCCTTTTTTTAATTTTTTTTTAAAGATTTTATTTATTATTTATTTGAGACAGAGAGAATGAGAGAGAGAGAGAGAGAGAGCATGAGAGGGGGGAGGGTCAGAGGGAGAAGCAGACTCCCTGCTGAGCAGGGAGCCCGATGTGGGACTCGATCCCGGGACTCCAGGATCATGACCTGAGCCGAAGGCAGTCGCTTAACCAACTGAGCCACCCAGGCGCCCCTGCTGATGTCCTTTAAAAAAAAAGGCAGCCACCCAATAGTTATTCATGGTCTGGATGTACAGTATTTATTTAACTAATCCCTTTCGATGGACACCGGGATTCTTTCCATTATTTTCTTCCTCTTCCTTTTTTTTTTTTTTCCTGTTATGAACAGTGCTTTGAGCACCGCCTGTGCACACGCCTTCTTGGAACTCGCTTGATCAAAGACCCTGAACCATTGACATTGGTTTAAAAAAAATTTTTTTATAGACTTTATTTATTGGGTCAGTTTCAGGTTCACAGCAAAATTGAGCAGAAGATACAGAGAGTTCTCGTATAACCCCATCCCCATCCCCGGCCTCTCCCGCCATCAGTGCGGCATCAGAGGGGCACCGCCATTACAACAGAGGAAACCTACATCGACACCTCACTATCCTCCAGAGCCGCCGTGGCTTACATTAGGGTTCACACTTGGTGCTGTACATTCTATGGGGTTTGGACAGATGGATGATGAATGTATCCACCATTATGGTATCATACAGAGTAGTTACACTGCCCTAAAAGTCCTCTGGCTCCGTCTGTTCATCCCTGCCCCGCCGCCGACTCCTGGCACCACTGATCCTTGTACCCTCTCCATGGTTTCATCCTTACAGAATGTCACAGAGCTGGAATCATGCAGTCTGTACCCTTGCAGCCTGGGCCCTTTCCCTTCGTGACCTGCATTTGAAGTTCTTCCATGTCTTTTCATGGTCGGAGAGCTCATTTCTTTTTTTAGCACTAATATTCCCTTGTCTGGATGTCCCGCTGTTTATTTGTCCACTCACCTCCCAAAGAACATCTTGCTGGCTTCCGAGTTTGGGCAATTCTCTGACCCGGTGACATTTAATCCCTTCCAAGAGGCTGTACCACTTCAGTCCCATCCTGGGAGAAACAGCAAGGGAGCTCCTTGCTCCCTGCCGCCGAGCCCTGCACTTTGCAGGGTCCCGAGTGCTGGTGGGGAGTTTTTCCAAGTGAGTGAATGGGTATGTGTACACAGCCCGTGTGAGAGATGTATGAACGCTGTCTCTGCTTCTGGAAGCATGAGCCTGGCCCTGGTTTGGGCCAGAGCAGGTGCCACCTGGGCTCAGTGTCCCTCCCCTGGGGTGGAGACCAGTGGCTGGCATTCCCACCCACCCCCACCCTACCCTGCAGGTCTCCTTCCGCTACCACTGCCAGCTATACTCTGAGTGGAGAAGGACCAACCAGAAAGTTCGCCTGAAGATCCGGGATGCAGATGGCTCCGAGGACGCCCAGCACTCCTCACTGGCAGCAGGACTCCTGAAGAAGGTGGCAGAGGAGACACCCGTGTGAAGGCCGGGCCAGCAGGGCCAGAGGCAGCTGGTGACGCCCTGGTATTTGGAAGGACAAAACCGCCCGACCCTTCCTGCACGGCCGGAATGCTTCTTAGGCCAAGAGACACCAAGCGGAGCTGATTTCTGTGATCCCACGTGAAGATACTGTCCAGCTCTTTTGCACACTGTGGTACATGAGGACAGATGGACGTGGCCCTGAGCTGCGGACAGAGCAGGCACCCTGATCTCGTTCTGAGGCCCACCCGGCCCCCTTGGGGGCCAGCAGCCACGGCCGTAGGTGAACCAGGGCGCCCACGGGGCTGGGAGGTTCCGCAAGCTTCTTGCACTTCTCTGCACCTGACAGGCTCGCTTTCCTGGCACCCCTCGACTTTATAAAGTTGCACTGCGTTTCAAAAAAACCCACCCCCGAATGAATAAAAGGAACCCTTGCTGGACAAAACGGACTTGTCAGTTACGTTTCTGAACCGAGGCCTCAAAGGGAGGCACCTGAGACCTGAAGGGAGTCAGGTTAAAAAAAACAAAACCGGCCCCTTAGCTGGTTTTGAGGGATCTGTTCCTGGAAGAAGCAAAGCCTGGGTTTTTGAGTGAAGAGCAGGTAGCAGGGTTATATAATAAATGATTTAAAGTAAACACACGTAAGAAGAGCAGTTTCCATTTACTTTGCATCTAGAGTGGGCCAGATATTATGCTGGGCCCTTTATTCTCCTCGTCACTATACTTAGCGAGGGTTCCCTGGTTCTGAGCCTTCACAGGTGTCCTCCCTCTGCCCACCCTCAGTGGCAGGAATGGCTGTCACCTACAACTTACAGAGAAGGTTGAGGCTCAGAGCAGGGAAGCCTTTGTCTGAGGCCCCACGGCTCTAGGAGGCAGAGTTAGGGTTGACCCCCTGGTCCACATGGCTCCAGTGTGGAGCGTTCTGTGGCCCCTTCCGGGAGGACTCAGGAAGAGAAGAATATGGTCATGCTAATAGCATCTACTTCTTTTTTCTTTTTTTTAAGATTTTATTTATTTATTTGAGAGAGATAGAATGAGAGAGAGAGAGCACGAGAGGGAAGAGGGTCAGAGGGAGAAGCAGACTCCCCGCTGAGCAGGGAGCCCGATGCGGGACTCGATCCTGGAACTCCAGGGTCATGACCTGAGCCAAAGGCAGTCGCTCAACCAACTGAGCCACCCAGGCGCCCAATAGCATCTACTTCTTGAGCTCTTTCTGAGCTTTGTACATTTGAGGGTTCCTTGCATTGAGCCACATTTATTACTCAGAGCAGATCCAAAAGGTGGGTTCTGGGGTTCTCTTATGAATCCCATTTGCAGATGAGCAAACAGAGGATCAGAGCACTGGGGTTACTCACCCGAGATTCCACATCCTGGTTGGGCCTAGCACAGTATCTGGCATGTTCTCTTGTTTACTGCATGAATGCCCGTCTGCTGTGTGGCTCACCCAGAGAGGGAGAAAAACCCTTTCTGCCCTAGATGAAGAACATGGGGGAAGCCAGCCTGGCCACAGCGGGGGAGGAAGAGCAAAGGGCAAAGGCCTGGAGGCTGGAAACTACATGGCCTGTGGGAGGAGCAGCAGGGCAGCTGAGCCACGCTTGGAGCCCTGAGATTCAGGGGCAGAGGGGCGGGAGAGAGGCAGCTGGAGAGATGAGCAGGTGTCTGCAGAACAGGAGCATACCCGGTGCCCCAGCTCAGCTGGCACTCAGGGCCCTTCTCATCCTTGTGGCTTTTTACGCTACACAGGCCTGGCACCCACCTCTCCAGGACGACTTTGGAACGTGCTGTCCCTGGAGAGAGTGCAGAGGCCCCAGGATGTGCCATCATGAAAAGAGAAAGCTTTTTCCTTTGCAGATCTCTTCTAACACTTTTATTTTATTTATTTATTCTTAAAGATTTTATCTATTTATTTGACAGAGAGAGAGACAGCGAGAGAGGGAACAGAAGCAGGGGGAGTGGGAGAGAGAGAAGCAGGCTTCCCGCCGAGCAGGGAGCCTGACGCGGGGCTCGATCCCAGGACCCCGGGATCGTGACCTGAGCTGACAGCAGACGCTTAACGACTGAGCCACCCAGGCGCCCCAAACACTTTGATTTTTTAAAGATTTATTTATTTGAGAGAGAAAGAATGCATGTGCATGCAAGCTGGGGAGAAGCAGAATGAGGGAATCCTCATGCAGACTCCCCTCTGAACGGGGAACCCCAATGCAGGGCTGGATCCCAGGACCCTGAGATCATGACCTAAGCCAAAACCAAGGGCTCGACACTTAACCACTTAACCGACTGAGCCACCCAGGTGCCCCTCTTCTGACACTTTCAATTACAGTGAGGAGAAAGTTGTAGGTTGGTGCTAAGCAGTCTTTAATGACCCTTAACTCTAGCAAAAGAGAGAGCAAGTCTTGGGTTCAGAGCTGTTGCTGTGTACACAACTGAATTTCTACTTTAATGGCATCATCCTCTTATTTTTTACAAGAAACTATTTACAGCAAGTTTTCGATATGTAGTGTTATGTAAGGCACAATTTAAAAACATTTCTTTAAAGGAAAAAAATGTGTGTCAAAGGAAAGTATGAAGAAAATCACAGTTCAGGAGATGGCAAAACCCAGGAATGTGGGCAGTGTTGGGTTAAGTCAACCAGCCCATAGGAACCTAGCCTGAAGTTTGTCTCCTCAGCCAGGGCCTGGCTTGTTCCTGATTTCCAGTCACACTCACTGCACAGGAAGGGACTGGAGAGACAGGTGGCTTCATGTCCCCACTGCTTTGCATTTGGACTCTTTTCACTCATTCTGACAGACTGTTGTGGCCTCTTCCATCATCTCTGAGCCTTGCTGAGCAAGGGGATTCAGAGGTTCGGTGAGGCTCTGTCTGCCCCAGGGACCCCTCCAGTCTAGGAAAGGTCTAAGGGAGAGGAAAGTAAGCTTAGATACCAATGCAGCCCCGGGAGAAGAGCTGGTGTGCACAGGGGATTTTAGTAGAGCAGAGGGGCTGTGGGAGGAGGAGGGCCTTGGAGATGGCTGATAGAAGGAAATTCTATGAGACAGAGGAGTTTGGGGAGTATGTGGGAATGGGGGCCTGGCCCCCGTGTCAAGCTGGGCTACTGGATTTCTTCTCTGGACCTGGAATTCTCAGCCTGGGTCAGAATCACCAGGCTGAATTAAGCACCTAGGACAGTGTGGCAGATGAGATATTCCCCCAGAGCCTGATGATATGTAGCCATTCTGTGGGAGAGGGGGTAAAGGAAACCTTCCTTTTGTAAACCTAGAGAGAGTTCAGTGGTTGGATGGGAACTTCTCCAAGATTCAGTGAAGCCTTTCAAAGTTCGAGAGACACTGGGGAGGGGGGTGCTTTGGGAAAGGGAGCTGGAGGCCTCTGAACGCTTTCCTGGGCTCTGGTTTCTTCCCAGGCCAACGCGGTTGCCCCAGGACACAACCTGTAACAGCCCTTGAAAACCTCTTTCTGGACAGAGCCAATTCTTCAGGACAAAGGGATCCAGGGGCAGACAGAAAGGAGCCCCCGTTAAGGTTAATGGGCTCTCCTGGCCTGTGACTCGTTTCTTCTATCATGTTGGGATTATTGCTTGTTCATTCACTCCAGAAGCATCCGTGAGCACATACTAAGTCCCCAGCTTCATGTTTCGGTTGTTGGTTAACGGGTTCAGTGAGAGGAACTTAGGCCATGAGCTCTGCACTCAGGAGCTCCCAACCCAGTGGGGAGGCAGGCCAGACAGAGCCCAGGTATTCTTGGTGCAGGATGATACTTGCTTAGGGAGACAGCATTTTGCACAGCAGTCCTGTCAAGCTCGGCCAGTGTCCTGCCTTCCTTGCCTAGCTAACTCCTTTATATTCTAGTAAACAAAACTTTCGCAGCCTCTCTGCGCCAGCTCTGATTACAGGAAGCTGGGAGCGAGTAGGTCCGTGTAAGGAGGTGGGGAGGTGCTTCCCCTCCCCGACTTCGAGAGTGGGTGGAGTATCCAGTAGGTGCCTAACGCAAATTGCTTGCGGTAATGAATGAATAACAGCTGCGGGTCCGCGCTTGCGCGCGGCGGAGGCGTGGCCCCGAGCAGAGGCGTGGCCCGTGGCCGGAGGGGACGAGGCGGGAGCGGGCCGCGGCGCGCGCAGGCGTTACTGGTCGCGCCGAATCACGTGAGCGCGCAGGCGCAGCGGCTTGCATCCCGCTCCCTCACACAAAGCCCAGACGCGGAGAAAATGGCGGCAGGGGTCGAAGCGGCGGCCGAGGTGGCGACGACGGAGACCAAAATGGAGGAGGAGAGCGGCGCGCCCGGCGTGCCAAGCGGCAACGGGGCTCCGGGCCCGAAGGGGTGAGTATTACACGGCTCCTTGTCCCGGGCCGGGCACCTTCACGGCGGCCGCCTGCGGCTCCGTTAGGTCTGTTGGCGGCCTCCCACCGGCGCGGCCTCGGCCTGGGCCTTCCCCGCCGGTCTTGCCGAGGGTGGGGGCGGCCAAAGCCGTGAGGAGTGAAGCCGAGTGGCCCCGTGAGCGCCTCAAGGATCGCTCCCTCCTCCCAGGCCGCGGACTTCCGCCCCGCCGGCGCCTGCAGGCCGGGCCCGACGCCGAGGCCTGAGGCCGGGCCCCGGCGCACGGGGATGAGGGCGCGGGCCCGGGAGCCGGGGAGCCGCCGAGTCCGCCGCCCGCTAGCCTGTCGGGTGCCCTTGGGTTGAGTGGTTTCACAACCCCCATCCCCTACCGCCCGGGGTCTCAGTTTCGCGATCCGTAAAGTGGGGGGAGGGGAGAGAGTGCGCGCGCAGACGTTCGCGCGCGGTGAGCCCCGGTAAACGGCAGCCGAGGCAGGCGGGTAGGTTTCGGCAGGGACCGCGAGGCCGGCTCGGGGCGCCTCCTCTTCCTTTGCTCCTTCCCCCGCCTCGCGGGGAGTGCCTCGGTCGGAACCGCCGCTAGCCCTACGCTCTGGCCCCGGCTCGAATCCCTCGCGGCGTCCCTCGCTCCTCCCAGGTGCGCAGTACGTAATTGTAGAGAGTTCGGATCTGCGGCTCGGTGTTCACGCTTAGAAACAAGCAAACAAAGGGGGGGTGGGGTGGAGAAAGCTCCTCTTCCGTGTTCCAGGGGAAGATTTTTCCCTCCTTAGGCGGGCTCGCCGACTTGCGAACTTCGTCACCTATTCTAGTCCAGCTTGGGGCGCTGTCTTGGGGTTCTTGGTTTTTCAAGTTTAATTAAAGCTTTAACGCATCATCTTGTGTCCCCGTGAAACCCAGCCATTCTGATAGCAGTCACTTGAAAGACGCGGAGAGACGTTGAGGCTACAACCAACAGCTGGGAGGAGAGGGGAGTTCTGGGCGCGTATTTGATTTCCTACAAATTTTTAAAAAATTGTGGTAACATACATAACCTACGACTTAGAGTTTTAACCCTCTTTGAGTGTGCGATTCAGTGACATTAAGCGCATTCACAGTGTTGTGCTACTATCATCCCCTGTTCA